CTGCTGGTCGGGGTGTGACAAAAAGCCAGCAGGGGATGTTGTGCAGTCAAACCGGACATTTCCCTTTTGAATTGGAAGTACCTAAAAATGTTAAACCACAAACCGTAAACAAAAAGCTTAGTGAATTTCTCAAATACCACATGCAACATAGAAATCAGTGGGCCTAGCCCTGGAGTATGTTTCAACCCAATACACATCAATGGGCCTAGCCCTGGGGTATATTTCAACCCCAATCAGATATCGATCCAGAAATCACCACTAAAAACAGCTACCGGTGTCGTCGGAGAACTCAAACTGACCACCACTGCATGCTCTACTATCACCAGATCTAGATTTGAATCCAACCACCAAAGAAAATTAGGAAGTTAATAGTTCTTTTTTGGGTTGTCTCACACACTCTATCTTTTCCTCAAGATAGTAGTTCTTCTTTACCTTTTATTTGGTAAATAGATAGTAGATGTAATAGTTTCTACTTTGTACCTTTTTTTATTGCTTAGATATTAGTAAACTGAAAAGCTATAAAGCACATAAAGTTAATAGTGAAATACATTATATTATGCAATTCTTTGTCTTTGATTTCGTAAATTCATTTTGTTGATTACTAATAAATAGGTTCACCACTACAAAAAGAATTATATTCTTAACTTTGATTTGTTTTTATTAATAAAATGTATTATCATATTTATTAAATTTGTTTGTTTTATTTGTTTATTAGATAAGTATATTTTTATTGTTTGTATATTGTATTTGTTTTTAATTTTGTAAATCTAATTTATTAATGATGCTTGTTTATTATGAGTTCGTAAAGGCAATTTTTTATTCCAAGTTTAAGGTTAAAGTTTATTAATTAAAAAAAAAGGCCAAACAATTGTAAGATACAATATTTTTTCATTACATTTAATATTTGCAATATAAATTAATATTATATTTGTGTTAATGATATTATTGACAACCCGATCCGATACAAAATAATTTTTACATGTTTATTTTGTCATTACATTCAAATCGGACACATGTGAGTTTGAATTTTAGATTCTCCATTGATTAATCTGTGAATTTATTTTGTGCATACAAAGTCTTTGATAAAATGATTCAACAAAATTAAGTATGTTTTTAAGCTATAAATAATGTGCATGAGAGTCCTAAAATGATTTATTAAACTATGAATTAAAGTATTGAAATGTAAGTTTTAAGTTGATTATATAATTTTTGTATATTAAACTATGAATTTATTGTATTAAGCTGTCAATTTTGTGTATTAAACTGTGAATTGACTATTTTAAGTTGTGTATTTTGTGTATTAAACTGTGAATTGACTATACTAAACTGTGAATTGACTGAATTAAACTGTGAATTAGATGTATTAAGTTGTGAATTAACTATATTAAACTGTGAGTTTTTTATAATTTTTGTTTGCTTATGAAAAATGAGATAAAATAAGCACTATGCACATGTAATGTTATCTAATTTTGAATAAAGTATGTAAAATTTAAACTGTGAATATTTGCGTAAATAAACTTTAAAAAAACACTAGCCTATAGATCTAAAAGTATAAATATAAGTTTTAAGTTGAGAATAAGGTTGTGAATATATAACTTGTGTGTATTAAACACTGAATTTATTACATTAAGTAGTGAATTTTGTATTCCAAACTGTGTGAATTCATTGTATTAAGCTCTAAAGTTTTTATGAATTTCGTGTTAAATAATAACTGATTTATGTATGAATGTTTGTATTAATTTTTTTGTAAATATATTAATTTTTTGTATTGAATAAATATGTAAGAATATATTAGTTTTTAAAATTATTTTGCATTAAACTATTAATTAGCAAATTAATTGGCTTATTAAATTGTGAATATAATATTTAAGCTATATCCATTATTTATATACATATCTGATTTGGAAGAAATGATTGTTGTGAAAGTAGCACATGTAGTTGGTGGCGGTGTGTGGAAGTTGGTGGTGGTGGTAGAGTTTGGGTTTACTTATTTGAATTTGTGAATTAGTGTATAATGGATTGTATTATGTTGTGAACTTTATGTATTAAACTAAATATAAATTGTATTAACTTGTATATATTATATAAATCTTGTGTTAAAATATGAATGAATGCATGTATGAAAATATTAAACAGCGTATTAATGAATTAATATGTCTATTAAAGTGTGCATATGATATTTAACCAGTGAATATGTCTTATAAATGATATATTTTTTAAAGAAATCTACGATTTAAAAGAGAGAAAATTGATTTTGTCAAAGCATAATTCTTTTCTTTATTAATTTTTTTATATTTGGCTGCAAAAAATGAAATGATATATATTAAAAGTATTACCAATGAAATGAGAGTTACAATGTTCGTTTTATTAAGCTCTGAATACGGCTAGAAAAATATCACTGAATTTGATGTTAGTCCAGCGATTGTCCGACGATGATCCGATGTCGGTTCGACGGTTGTCCTACGACAAGTGACAACTAGCTGTAAACTAGAGAATAAAAAATTTGTTTAATACAATATAAATGTTGGATTTGTCCAAAATGCCCTTAACAAAACATTTTAAAAATGGTTCATAGGGTTCTTAAGTTTTTGGTTTTCATTTGAATCACTCTAT